CTTAGCTGCTTGAGCCACAGGCACTGAGCCTAGACAATCTTATGAACACATTTATTAACACATTCTGAGTATATCTTTCCATAGGCAGCCTCTATTTCTGTAACCTGCCCTGACAACATCCCAGCCAACTGAAGTCAACTCCCCTTCTCAGGCTGCACATGGCCTATTTTCTCCACCCTCGACAACACCCTCTCCACTCTGCTCCCTACTCCCCTTTGCTGCCTCAAGGCCTTTGCTTGTTCTTCCCCTTTGCCAGAACCATCCTCCTCCACATGTCTGCAAAACCTACTCTGTTCCTTTCTGGAGGCCGCTCCAGGCCTCACCAGGCTGCTCCACTCTTCTCTCTCCAGTTCCTTTGTAGAAGGGTCAGATCACACGCTGTAATCACCCTATTTATTTAACTGTTTGCTTGCTGACTGTCTTCTGCCATGAATATAAACACTGCATGAAGGACTAGCCGACTTTGTTCATGCAGCAGCCCTAATTCCCAGCCTGCAGTAGACAGCCAAATCTACTTGAAAAGCAAAAGAAAGAATGAGGACTTTCTATACCTTTGAAAGGGGAAGGAGCTACCATTGATTATATTCCAGAACCACCTCCTCCCTAGGGGGAGCTAAGCATTTGTGTCCCAGGGACTATACCTAACCCCAGTGACGTTATCAAAGGAATACCCTTGTTAGTTCACGTATCAATTTATACCCATCTCACAGAACTGTATGTGGCACAGAACGGACAGGCGATGGATGAGACGTGAAGAGTTCTGGGAGTGAAGTGTCATTACTACTATTAAGATTACAATAGAGATGAAAAATAAAAGAGGCACAAAGTCAGTCATTTGCCCATGGATACACAGCTGGCCATGGCTGAATGGGACTTAAACCTAACTCAACTCCACTCAACTCCAAAATGCATGGTTCTAACCTCTAGGACCTACCACCTCTTACAAGGATATAAAATCACTGCATGAAAAGGCAAAGTGAGATCCTGTGATTTCCTATTATCAAACATGTTTTGATGGTGGCTACAGCTGATGGGAATAGACGACAATGTTACAGCTCTTTTAGAATTTGTCTAGCAGGTTTTCTAGTTTTTGCAGGAAATAATTCATAAAAGCTACATAGACTATAGATTGTCTGCAGACTAAAATTGTGTCGATGACAACACAATCATATAAAAACACACATGCAGAAAATACCAAATGAATTCGTTTGAATGGAGGACTGGCAGCCAATGGAGAGGTGAGAAAGAAGGTACACCATTAGCAGGTAATTAAAATATGTACGAAAAAAGGGCAGTCTAAAGCAACGCTACTCAATGAATTTTTAGCAAAAGAGAGAGGAAAGCAAAGTAAAGAGGGAACTCAATACAGACAGAATAGGAGAAAGCAGCGTTTTTCACCTTTCGTTTTAGAGATGGAGAAACACTCGAGTTAAGCCCATTTTCTGGGCTGTTGTAGGAAGAATGAATGCATTAGCATCTGTGATATCCCTTGGAATTCATTAATGAACTTGATAAAACAAGTTACTGGCTTAGAATTCAGCAGTCTCTTCCTCTTCAATTACTGCCTTTAGTAATACATAAATATACACAGCAGAAGCAGAAAATCAAGGGAGGTGGAGGAATCAAGGGCACTGTTGGTCCCAGATGTGGGCAAGAAGGTGGTGACTCTGCAGGGAGCTGTAGAACAGTAATATACTGATGAAAAGCTGGTCTGCTTGTTTAGAATCACCAGGCATCAGCCCCTAAAGACTGTCAGGGAATAGGGGCAAAAACTGTGGCTCAAGGAGTGGGGCGCCGGCCCCATATGCCAGATGTGGTGGGTTCAAACCCAGCCCCGGTCAAAAAAAAAAAACTTCAAGACTGTCACGGAATAAATTATAAGCCCCCTGGCTGCCTGCCTTCTCCTCCACTTACCCTCCTACCACATGCGAGGCCACTGAATGTTAAAGCTACAAAATTGGTAAAGAAAAGCTAAACATACACACACGTGTGCACCACACACACTGGTATAGTAAACAGCACAGTGAGAATATCACACATATAATCTGTGGATACAGATGGGAATCCCAGAATCTACCCAGCAGCGACAACCACAGAAGAACTGAGGGAGGTCAAGACTGATGTACCCTTAAGACCACATGAAAAATCCATTTCAGTATCCATCTCTCCCCCATTGAAATGTGATCTCCAAATATGGGGGGGGGGGGGTTGAAACTGGTTTCTAAATACTACCTGAGATTTACAGATGGCAAACTGTACTTTTGGACAGACACCAAGCTAAGGTTTCCAGAAACTGTAAGGTAAAGAAATTTTCATTTTTCCTATGTGAGAAATCCTTGAAAATAAGTTTCTGAAATATTTTAACATCTATACTAAAACAAAAATTGGGAAAAGAAAATGGTAAGGAGAATGGAAATGCCTAAAATGGCTTAAATAATACACGTCACCTAAACATAAAAATGGAAACAGCTTATCAAAATTAAGCATTTATGGGTGGTGCCTATAGCTCAAAGGAGTAGGGTGTCGGCCCCATATGCTGGAGGTGCAGGGTTCTACCCAGGGAGGGAGGGAGGGAGGAAGGGAGGAAGGAAAGGAAGGAAGGGAGGAAGGAATGGAAGGAAGGGA